CCTACCACTGTGCCCGTAAGCTACATCTGAACTCGTTGTCGATGATGAGCCCCAAGTAGGCTTGTCTCCATTCATCGTAGTTGGAGTAGTCACCATTGAAGTACGGTGGTGGTAGTTTGTACTTGTGTAGTCTCTGCACATCGCTTTCTGCCTGCGCTGCTGCTGTTGTTGCACCTATTGTTCCTGTAGCTTGTGCTGGTGGTACGCCTTCTGACGCTGCCTGTTGATCTTCTGCTGTCATGTCGAAGTAGTTGAGCATACTGGGGCGCTACTGTCGTCGTTACTACTGGAGCTCCCCTTTGGGTAGGATCTCAGCTCCGCGATCCGGACAATCTATGATGGCTCTGTTGGTGAAAGCCAACGGGATACAACGGCACCTACAGACCTCCCTCTCTCTCTCTCTCTCTCTGTCTCTCTCTGTCTCTCTCTCTCTCTCTATGTTGTCGCTCTCCCTGTTGTATCTCTCTCTCTCTCCGTTGTTTCTCTCTCTCTCGACCCGAGCAAGCTCCGCAAGAGTACTCAAGATGTAGCTGCAAAAGCAACGGGCTTGACGACTTCAAGATTCACAATCCACACAGAGGGTTGGATATCGCGAGCTGGTAGAAGACGAGGTAAAGGATCCGAGAGGTTTGAGAGGTCCGAGAAGTGACAGAAGGGACACTGAGCAGTTGAGGGCGACCTTGAAGCTGCATACAGTTGGCTGGAGTGTTCAATCGCTGCGACAGCAGCGTTCGGCACCAACTGGAGGATCAGGCAGCATGGGTGCTGGAACCGCAGGAGGTCCAGCATGTCAATATCTTTGCTCTCAGTGCAGTTGACTGCAACATCACTGATCGGATCTTCACTGCCTACACTTGGCAAGCTGGCTACGCATGGTCATACAACCAGATTGTCAACATGAACCAGCTGTTCAACGCGGACACCGTGTTGGATGCAGAGGGTGCGGCACGCATGGAACGGGTTGTGACGCAATCCTTGGAGTATGCGGGTCTGAGCGCAGGGGATTGAAGGTGTGGCCAGCAGGGAAAGATGAGACTAGTATCCGTGGTGCCATAGGGCACGCTCAGTGGATCAGCGAGCAGCAGGGTCATGAACAGATCGTGGAGTTCAGCAGCGGCATCAACAAGTTTCGTGCTGCCAACTGGGTGTGATCGTTGCGGACTTCGAGGGAGATCATCTTCGTTCGCCCTATCACGCACAGACCGTCACTAGGTTGGTATTGAAAGATCAATGTCACCTCCAGCAGCGCGAGGCCGTTTCTTTCCATCATCAACAGAAGCTTTGTTTGTGCATCAATCCCCGTACAGTTTCAACGTGTTGACAATGGTCAACAAGTTGAGAGGGCGTGTTAAGATGAAGTCACCCAACCCAGTGTATGCACATTGGCAGCTGACAAGACGCGTGTCAACCGCTGCCATGTGGGGTCAACTAGGACCCTTGAGCAACACGGTCCGAACGCTATGGACACAAGGTGCAGCTGCCGACCAAGTGGATCAACAGAGTTGTCAAAGCATCATTTCCACTTCTACATGACAGAGAGAGAGGAGGGAGAGAGAGAGAGAGAGGCATAGAGAGGAGGGAGAGAGGAAGAAGGAGAAAAGGGAGAAGCCAATGTTGGCGTGCGCTTGCGCCTTTGCTTCTACCTCTCTCAACATGCAGAGTCCAAGCATCGCGGTTACGGCATTGGTTCACTGCCCACGCCAGTGAATTGGAGCTCCAGCTGGCGAAATGCTGCAACTGCAACTGGATTGACGTGCTGCGTCATGACTCCTGGGGTGTCGGAGCGTGGCTGTGTTAGTGTTGTTTGTTTTTTGTTGTGTGCAGCTTGCCGGACTGTCTGTTTGTTTGTCGTTGTTTGCTCCTGTTGCTGCAGCGTGCTGATGTTGATGTCGTTGATTCTGCTGCGGCAGTAGTTGTTGCTGCTGCTCAAGCCGCTGAAAAAGTAAGGCCAACCCCACAATTAGCGCAGGTTGCCCCCAGCAACAATTGTCGCCAGCAACCATTGCCATCAGCAACAATTGCCACCAGTGATGCCACATAGCTTTCCTCTGGCTTTCTGAATCTGTCCCTGAGTAAATCTGTGCGCTGACAAGCAACAAATGCAACATCTTAACGGTCCCTGAACACACCAGCCTCTCGATGAGGTAACTCAATACGGCATGACGGAGCCCCGTCGCGGGGCGTCCTGGGCCCAACGGTTTCCTTTGGGAAAGGATGAAAGGCATGTGGGACTGTGAGTATTGCAGCATGACCATCATGACCCACAGAATCACTCTGATCTCAAATGCCCAGGCTTGGCGACTTGGCACTAGCGAGCTGTGCTAATACAGCACACACACGCTTGTGTCGTGATTGACTTGCAGGTAGAACACCCGTCAGAAGAGCTCAAAAGCAGTTGGAACTTGGTTCTGCCAAAATCCTCGTGAAGCTTCGAATTGGAGTCTTGTCGTGATGCCTATGAAACCAGAGGGGGCACAACTCCTCTCCAAAGATTTCCAGCACAAGTGTTGGGAGCTGTTCAACAGCGCGGAATGAAAAGCGGAATGATGCAAGCAAAAAAAATGTAGGGCAGCACAGCAGCCTGCAAGCGTTGGGCTTCAATAGAAGAGCACTTGCAGTGACAGGCTTAAAAAAACTCAGCTCCATGATTCACACTTGCATCGGAAGCTGGGATTCTGGCTGTGTTTCAAGATAAATTGACCAAGTGCTGTTGGCCACCTTCAAATCCTGAGCAAGATGAGCAGAAAGGCACAGGCGCTCTTCATTTAGGAGTCGGGCGACAGCCTGCTCTCCTGTTGGCGCATATGCAACGGCTGATGTTTTGCCACCTAAACAAGCAAGCCACCAGCTCACCCCAAGCGCCTTCCAAGTCTTTGCCTTAGATTCATTCATCCTTGCGCTAGTCAATCCAAATGAAGCAGAGGAGACCTGACTCAATAATTCCGAGATGCTAGCTGAAGTGTCCAAATTGTCGGCCAACCAAGTAGCACGGAATTACGTGCATCACATCCAAAAAGGAGCCACTTAGGCTAGCGCAATGCACACAATCACTGACTGGAATGACATGGCAAGGTCTACCCGCATGCCACCAACGGTGCTCAGAAAACTCAAGCACTCGTCACTATCAAGCAAGCCTGACATGATTTGACATGATTTTGTGATGCCAAAATGAGCACGCTGCTTCTACTTGAATGAGTACTCTGTTGGCTGTTTACTGCACAGCAAGTCGAGGTGTGCAGAAAGACCTAACTGTCTCCAGCAGCGCGCTCGTAGATGCGTTGCGGCGGTGTGGACAAGCTGCCCGGTGACGCAGCGCACTAACTCTGGCATGTTCCCGCAAAGGCTTCGACAGCCACAATCTGGAGGGTCGCATCCCCCCCAAAAAAACAAGAAAAGATAAAATAGCAGGGCCTTTTATGCTGTCCCTCAGCCACAGGTGGCTTCCACGACAAGCTCTCAGGTTCTGATGCTCTCATTTTACCTTTTGACATGCTTTGACCTTTTGCTAACCTTTCCGCCAAGCTTCCATGGCGTGGATCGTTGCTTCTGCGGGCATGTTTTTGCTAAAATTGCTTCCACGGGCTTGCTTGGGCATGTTTGGTTGCTTCCGCGGCCGCCTCCCACGCACTTTTGTAATGTCAACCCGCTTGCTTGGTAAAACATGCCATGCGTCGGGACCAAGATCGGTGGATGTGGTCAATTCCATTGTGATTTGCGTGAGTTGATTTTTTGGAAGGAATGAAAATGGACTAAACATGTGAAAAGCAGTAAGAAGACGAGCCTTTTACTCAGCCAGCAAACAATGCCGTTCCAAAGAGGTACCATGATTGCAGCAAGAACGGAACCATCCCCCCCCCCGAACCCCCTAAAGCGCAAAAATGGGCTCAAAGGATACTGAATGATTGATGCATTCTAAGATGAACAGAACAATACAGTGATCTACTCAAGCAATCAGATTGGCAGGCACGGAGACTGACGTGTATTTCATGGTTGCCCAGCTATTCTCTGTGAGAATGTGGGTTAAGCCACACTGCGGAATGCACAAACAAAGATATCAAAGTGTGACATTCGCATGCAGTACAAAATACGATACAAGGGATTCCTACATTGCTGGAAGGGTTCATCATGTACAATTCAAGTTACCCCCCCCCCGCACCAATCTTGGTCCCGACGCATACCTAAAACAACTAGGACCCTGGGCAAGAAAAAAACAAACCTCAGGTGGAAAGAGCAAACCCACCTGCTCTCCAAGCTGGATTCCTCAAGGCCAGGGTGTTGGAGGCCATCTTGTCTGCTGCCGTCAGTGCAACCATGACTTCCACCCTTTGACGGCCTGCACCAGTCTGGGATGAACACGGCAACGCGGCCGTCGTCCCAATCTGGTCTGGAAGACAGACAAGAAAGAGTCGCCCTGAGCGTCACAAGCCAAGTGGGCGGCGCTACTGGTGTCCGCAAAAGCGGGTCACGGCACGAGGAAATCTGTTGCGAACGGATGTCCTACAACTGTGCTGACCAAGCACGAACGCTCACAACACAAGGGCTGTGAAATCCGGCTTCACTGTGATGCCACGCCCGGTTGAACGTCAACAACGTGAGCTTGCAGTTCTGAGCTGGTGCCCTGTAACGGGTGGGTGGGCTTGTCACGTGCGGTCCTGCATGCAGCAAGACGGTCCCTCACAACAGTCCATGCAAGCAGTGCGAATCACAATTGTTTTCAGTGATGCTTGTGGCTCGGCAGGAGCATGGTGTGAAACATGTCAGGCTTGGCTGGCTTTGCCATGCCAGTTGCTCGTAAGTACTTGAACATACATATACATATACGTATACATATACATGTACATACACATATACATATACATGCACATACACATATAACTTATACATATACACATACATAATACATATAAAATACATATACATATACATAATACATATACAAATGCACATGCATGTGCATAATACATTAAATATAAGCCTATACATGTGCATGTATATATATATACACATAACATATATGTATGTATGTCAACGCCTAATTGATGCTTCACAGAAGTGGCAAACAGTGGCGGTGAACGTCTGAGACCTCAAAGCAGAGATACCATGTCTGAAGCTAGGGAACACGATGGGCCTCTGGTCTGAGCCTCTGGTCTGAGTTGCTTGCGGACGAGGCTGCTGTGCAGGGATGGTGATCACCGCTCAAGGCCTCTTGGCTTGGTGTGGTTTGCATATGTGCAGGAAACAAACATGTCAATCAGTTTGGAACATGCGTGAGTCATATGAAGCAAGGTTTTTCTGCCACTGTCCGTCCCCATGCAGCTTTTGGCGTCCGACCCCATTCCTTCATGATTGATGTGCAGCTGTTGCTCGCCTGAGACGCGCCAACAGCAATACCATCTTAACGGGACTGGCTGAGTGATTGGAGTAATACCGAAGACAGCAGATTGAGACCAAGGCTGTCCAAGTAAAGTTTCGCAGCGATGGCTCTGTAATCGCCATTGTGATCTCGATACAGCCTGCAAGGGGCACATGATGAGGGCACTCCGAGACAAAAGGCTGGCCTTGCGCTAGCTGAGGACAAGACTTGCGATGATTTCTCTCGTTCACCAACAGTTCCACTGTCACCTTCTGATCCGTGTTGTACCTGTTGTCGTGTTTGATGTGCTTGATGTGGTTGCGCAGGTGAAGGTGCAGCTTGCATGATGCTGAGCAGCGGACGCAGTGATGGCTAAGCTTCGTCCGTCGGTCGCCTTCAAATTACCAAATCGGTGGCTGGCTTTGTGTGGAACTCAACACGCCGAAGCCCGCACCATTTCAACCAAGTAGTACGCGCCATTGATATTTTGTCCTTCCTTCAGCACATACCTGCATGAAGCAAAGCAGCGAACAACGTGGTGCGCATTAACGTTTGTTGCAAATATCATTGCTATTGCGCTGCAAACCTCGCAAAGGTTCGCTTTGCCACCAAACAATGCATTCCAGTAAGCGCCACAAAACTTGACCAACGCAATAGCTAGCAATAGCATTGCCAACTCCATCAAAACGCTGGCTGTGCCCAAGCCATATTATCGCCTGAGATCATCACCAGCACCAGGACCGCTACTCATTTCAACCGGCGCGAAGGAATTCATAGAACCTGCAAGTATTGAGTATCGCCTTGAAACGAGCTTCAAGCAACTCGTGCAACCAAGCAAGCACCTGTTGTGGCAGCCATTCCTTTGGCCTCGCATGCAACTCAACGCCATCCAAAGGCTTTGCGCAAAACCCATGGCCAAACCAGCGCAAGCCTTGCCTTGTTGAGAGGCGTCAAGCTACTGGACCTGGGCTTCGCAGTGCCATTTGAGGCGGCATGTTCAGCAGCTGGCTTGCGTTTAAGATATTTTAGCGTGCCCCGTCGGCCCAGCCACGTACTCAGCACTTTTGGTTCGCGCCGCAAAGTCACCTGTGTGTCTGTGGGTGTGGGGGTTGGGATGGAGTGTGGGGGTGGGGTGTGGTTGGGGGGCGTGTGGTGGGAGTGGGGGTGTGCGGGTGGTGGTGCGGTTGGTGTGTGGGGTGTGGGGGTGTTGCTGTGGTGAGGGTGTGTGTGGTGTGTTGTCGGGTGTGGGTGTGGTGGGGATTCGAGGGTGTGGTGGGGTGCGGGGATGTGGTGGGTGTGGGTACAGGTGTCGGGTGTGGCGGGCGGGGAGGGGGGTGTGGGGGGGGGGAAAAAATGGTAAAAGTAGGGGGCCTGGGGGGTGGTCTGTTGAGGGTTGCCTGTTCTGGTTTTTATGTTCATCTCAAATCTGTGTTCCCCCTTATTCGTTTTTTAAAGAGGGTTTTTAGGGAGCTTATTTATCGTTTTCGTTAAGGTAATCATTTTGGTAATTGCCCCCCTTGTTCATTGTTGGGCTGGGGGCAAACATTTTTTTCATTTGAAAGAGGTAGCCCTTTTAGTAGTTATCAAGTTCTGGGGTGTTGGTGGTGTATTTGTTTTGTTAGTATTTTTATCAATAATTTTCTTTTATAGGTTAAAAGTTCGCTATAATTATAACATATAAGATTTTACATGTTATAATTATGGTTTAGTTATGAATTACACAGGTTCATCAACCATTAGTTTAAACCTTATGTTTTGTACTCCTTCAAAATTCATGCTACTTCTTTCATCTTCCATACGACTGTCTATTGTTTGATGCGCCACTCTCATTACATCAGCTATATTATCTATGGCTATATTATCTACAAAATCATCACTATGAAAATGAAAACTAAAAGTGTTAAAATGGTTGTCTTCATAATAATTGAAATGATGAAACCTTACAAACATATTTACCTCAACTATTATAACTTCTCCATAACTGTTATCGGTTTCAATGCTATCTAACAAACAACCTAAGTTTTCATTTTCATTAAAAACTATATCTTCAATGCTTTTAATGCTTAAAGGTTTATTTCTTGAAATGGAATACTCAATTACGTGTCTCTTCATATCATCACCACCTACAGCAGTTCGACGCTTTGTCTTTCTTTGTGTTTCTGTTCTGTTTATTTTATATTGTTGTTGTATTCTCTTTAATGTCTTAATATGATTATGTTTTATTTTCAAATACTCAGGTTCCCCTAATTTATATGAAATGATACCTTTTAATACATCGACAGGTAAGCTAGCACAATTCTTAACCATAAAATTATTATCTGATATTTTACCCCCACTCATTTTTCTCTTAATATATAAGGTTTTTTCTCTTTAAGTAGTTTTGGCTAGGGGTTGCTGGTCGGCTGGTCTGGGTTTCAGGTTTAATTTAAATGTCTTAACCTTCTTTTTAGATTATAAAACAATGTTTAATCATATTATAAGATAATAATATTAATAAACAAAAGTTAATTTGACCCGAATTCAATCTCACCAGCGTAAATTATGATTGGATAACAACTCAATACTAATACCAAACAGGAGTGAACAGAAGGATGCCAAGATTAATTGGTCTGTGTAAATTTCAATTAATTCGCTAAGAATATATCTCATATAATAATTGTTATTTCTATATGGTTTGGAAAGGTAAACCCACAACGTTTAAATTTTTTTAAATCTTCAATGTTAAGACATTTTCTTAAAATGATACAAATTTCATTTTCATTTTTCTTACAGTATGATTTTAATGCTTGATAATACATGTTTCTATTTTTAAACCGTTCTTTAACTTCTTGTATATCAAATACTCGGTCAATGTGTTTGAGGGAACCCTCATAAGGGAAGAGACCCTCCTCATAAGGGATGAGACCCCCCTCATAAGGATGAGACCCCCCTCATACGAAAACCCCCGAAAATAGGTGGGGATTTGCTTTTGGATGAGGTTACCCTCATCAGGTATGAGGTTCCCCTCATCAGGTATGAGGTTCCCCTCATCAGGTATGAGGTTCCCCTCATCAGGTATGAGGTTCCCCTCATCAGGTATGAGGTTCCCCTCATCAGGTATGAGGTTTCCCACATCCTCATCCATTCCTCTCTTAGTCCCCGCACCCTTCGCCTACGACGCTACCATCTTCTAGGTACTGGGATGAGGTGGGGTCGTCCTTGTTCCCCTTTTGAGGGTCTTAAAACAAACAAACGAATATATCACATATCAAATTTGAAGGAATCCTATACAACTCATCTTGTTTATGTTTGATGTATCCCTCACCCCAATCTGATTTTTTACCCGATGGCAACCGTTGAGCAGTTTCTAAATGTTTCCCATTCCTAATTTTCCCACAATCCCTATTACATAATGGTCTAGGTTTCCAACTTGTTATGTTAGCCCAAAGCCTTGCCACTAAATAACTCTAATAGTTTCATTTACTATTAGAGATATTTAGATTTGAAATTATTGTTGTAAAAACTCAAGATGTTTTATTGTTCTTTCATGTCTTCGTATATCACATTTCCTGAAAACACCACCACATTTACATTCAATCGTGTCTTTTCTTTTTCCCACGATTGTTTCTTTGTTTTGGTGGTAGTGTTCCCTGCTTTTATTACATATATGTTCTTTGTTCTTTTCGGAGTATTCCTTCCTCATATTTTGGTAATGTTCCTTGTTGTCTTCCTTCCATTCATTAACCGTTCTACCCGCAACACATCTATTCACACAATCATTATGTTGAATGTAATAACCTTCTCTTCTCAATAGTTGTTCTCTGTTTTCACACGGGTAGTCTTCTAATAATTCAATCTTGCAGTTCTCCATTCCATACTCATCAAACAACAAACGACAGTTTGTTTTGTTATTCCATTCCCGCCCCCCCCCCCCCCCACACACCCAAAAACGGGGGGGGGGGGGGGGGGGGGGGGGGGGGGGGGGGGGGGGGGGGGGGGGAACACCCCACCCCACACCCATTCATCTGATTTCTTATAGTTTTGTCTATGTCTGGCCATTCTTTGACTCAAACTTTCACAGGTGCTTCCGATGTAGCACTTATTATAACCTATATCAGTTATTTTGTAAATCTTTGCACTTCTATATTTACTGCTATCCATGAATAACATAATGTATCGTCTCTTTAACGCAGTTTATAATGACCATAAGGTATTGAATTAAAAGCATCAATATAAAACCTTTTATTTTCATAATTACTGAGAGATTGCTTAACTTGAGACATTGAAAATAATTGATGGTTGCGACTACGAATGAAGTTGTAGGTGATTTCATGCTTTTTGTTTTGAAATAATGCTTCGTGGTAGTTCTGATACGATAGTTCTTTTTTCACCTTGTGCTTCACGACACCTTTTGATTTTTTATGTTCATCATCCTCACCATGTATTGTAAAAGCATATGATTTGGGTTTGAGAGCTATAAATTTGGTAATTATCTTTGAAGAGCATTCATCCTTAAACATTCCTAAGACCTTCTTATTAGTTTTGTCATGACATGGATGCTCAACAGGATAGTCGCTAAAATCCATGTGTTGCTTTATCTCATTAAAATCCTTATAGACATCATCAGTCATTGTTTGAATTACATAGCTGTCAGTATCAGTATATATCAATTTGATATGTTCATTGTATTTTTTCTTAAGGACATCATAATAAAATTGATACATATGTAATTTACTTAAATCTAAAATAGTCATTCCTAAAAAGATTGGTTTATCCAGTTTCAGTTTTGCTTTAGTTTTCTCAACTCCTACAAGATTTTCATTTATTATAAATCTATTTTTGAAGGTTGGATTATTCACACATTTTTCATATCTAACTTCATTATCAACCAGTTCAAAGTCCATATGGTTTCGCTTGTCTTCCATAGTTTTACCATATACAGAATTATTCATCAGCTTATAGAGTTCTTTCTCAAAATCGCTTTTGGCTTCTTTCCTTTTACCAGTGTTGAAATCAATCCACGGTTTCAACCAAGCCCTCTGTTGAAACTTTATTATCCTATGGACTTTACCCATTTTCATTCCCATTTTCAAATAATACTGTAAAGTCTTGATATGAACCACATATTTTTCTTTATCCTTTAGATTTAATATTAACTTACTTGTTTTCTCGTCCTTGGGACTTTTACCATCATAATATATTTTGAAGACTTGCTTTTGATAATCGGAAAGCATATTCACATTTACATTCATTATTTCAGGCGCTAGTGGATAGTCAGAGTGGAAGTCGTGCAATGTTTCGGGATATTCCAAATCAACTTCCATAATAAAACCGAACTCATCGTTTTCATTCCATTTTTCAACAATGGGAGTTTTCTTTGCCCACTTGATATTTTTTAGCGGTAACTTCTGGGACATTGCCAAACCATACAAGTTATTAGCATCCAAGTAACTAATATAATTTGATGGCTTGTTCTCATCATATGCTTCCCCCATATACTTATTATTTGCCACTGCTAATTTATGACTTACCTGACACATACCACCTCTCATTCCCTTTTCAACCATCTCAAACATTTCTTGGTCATGCAATTGTTCTATTTCAACACCAGTTTTTAGAAGCATCGCGTCCCATGCGAAATTTGGCAACGTATAATAATGAGCGGGGTCTAAACCGTAGTATTCCATACACAAGTCTCTAAAGTTTTCAAATACATCGGTCAGTAGTAAAACATCAGTTCTTAAATACAGGTCGTGATACTGCCCGAGTGTTCTAATCCCGAAGTGCTTCCATACTTTCAATGCCCTTTCATAATCTTTATCACTTACATGTTCTTCACTCAATTTACTGTAAAACGCTTCTTTCGGTGGTAAAGCCCTTTCCTTAAATCTTTCAAAATCATCAAAGTAGTCATAGGGATAAATACCCTTATCAGTCAATAAATCCAAATCTTCATCGGTTTTAACATACGGGTTTCTAACGCTG